CTCCGTCTTTACGCGCAGTTCAAACATTAAATCGTCACACACTTGCATCGAGGGATTTTGGGTACGTGGTGCTCGGTGTTTCTGGTGTTTCAAACAGGAGCACCCCCCGACCTGGGAGTTAGGTCCCCGGCCCCCAGGACGGGGCTTGGGGCGCAGTCCAGGGCCATCTCCCGCCTTCCTACCTGCCCCACGACGCCTTCACAGTTCATTGCTTGTCTGCCCTGAGAGAGGCCTGTGCACATGGCGTTTCTTATTCAACCTGCACAGTAGTCTCTGAGATGGTAACCGTTTCGTTAATTAGAAGAACTGAAGCCCAGAGAGAGTAATTTGCTCCAGTGGCAGAACATGTGTTGAATCTCGGGCATCTCAGTTCCCACTAGGCGTTGAGGTTCTCACATGACCCTGCAACATCAAAGGGCTCACTGGAAACCCAAATACTGGAGCCTACACCATAGTGTTAGCTTACAGTCACTAACTGTTAACATTTTGCCACATTTGCTTTACCGTTTTTCTCTTTTCGTTTATATGAAGGTTCCAGAGCAACCTTATTTTAAAGTTAAGGAAAGTAAAGTTTAGAGAGGTAAATAATTGCTTAAGGTTCTCAGTTTATAAAGGAGGGAGCTGGAATACGAACCCTGGTCTGTGTCTATTACATACATTAAAAAAAAAAAAAATCAAATTGACTGTGCTTTAACTATTTGAAACAGACAAGGGAGCTGTCTCAAATGTTGAAAACCCTGCCTCACAGCAGCTGACAGTCTACCAGGCCAAATTCCTGTCTTGGCAAAATATCTAAGCCAAAGGCTGTTGTGCAATAAGGAGTCAGGGTTTTGGAACAGGCTGTTGCAACAGCCCCTGAAGCAACTGGGGGCCATTAAAGGGAGCCATGCCCCTTCCTGGGAAAGGAAGTTTGGGAGAAGTGAGAACAATTAGTGGGAAGAGAACTGAATCACCTGCTGCTTATAATCCCATTTTCTCCCAGTTTTTATTCTTTCAGACATTGATTCTCTTGCAACCTTCCCTTATCTATATGGTGATCTCTGCCTCCAGTTAGATTTCTAATGCCTCCTTTAGCATCAGTGATCAGTTGCTGGACTTCAGGTGCCCTAGCTATTGGTTTTCCTCCAGGTGCCTTGCTAATTTCTCCTGTCTTCACTGGCTGGTGGTCTCATCCCTGTCCGGCTGACTCACATGGTTCTGTCTTTAAACTCTAAACTCACATGTTCCCTTTGTCTTCTGGATGTTTCTACTTGGATATCTCAAAAACCCTTCAAAGGTCAAGGTGTCTAAAAGCGAACTCATGACTTTCTCTGCTGACCTAAGCACCATTTAAGTTCCCTCCCCTTCTTGAGTTCCCCTTCCACCTTCTGTCCTGTCTGAGCAGACACTTGGCAGCCATCTCTGGCATTCCCCTTTCCTGCGCCACCCCTATCCATAGAATTCTGGTACTTTCTCCTGCCTCTCAATCTTTCCCTTCATCTCCACTGTCCTTACCGTGATCCAAGACACATCCTTCTTCCCTTGACTCCAATGATAGTTCTCTAACTCAGGGTCTCCAACTCCCGGGTTCACCGTACTGGTCTGTGGCCTGTTAGGAACTGGTCACACAGCAGGAGATGAGCTGCAGGTAAGCTTACCAACCTCAAATTGACTGTACAGCCGCTCCCCAGCGCTAGCATCACAGCCTCAGCTCCACCTCAGATCATAGGGCATTAGATTCTCATAGGAGCACTGGTCCCTGGTGCCAGAAAGGTTGAAGACCCCTGCAACTGGTCTCCCTGCATCTACTTGGCACCCCCTTCAGTCAAATCCCCAGAGCAGACCCACAGAATTGTGTCAAAATGCAAATCTGCTTTATTTAAATACAAATTCAATCTAGTCACTCAGCTCTTTCCCCTTCCAGGGTTTAAAAACGTCAGTGACCTCCTATTGCTTTCTGGATCTAGACGCTTATCCCTAAGGCTCACGAGCTCCTGCACAGCCTGGCGGCAGCTCGCCCCATCAGGGCAGGCAGCTCACCCTGTGGCCCTACTCTTTGGGTTCCAGCCATGGGAGCATGCCGTCCTCCTGATTGCCTGGGAGACTTCAACAGGCTATTATTGCCTTTGCCTGAGTTCTCCCTTCCCACCTTTCATGACCCAGTTTCTGTTCTTCCTTGGATCTTGACTCCTTCGTTTTTTGCTCATCTCTTTCTCAGAGACGCCTCCCCCTCCCCAGCAGGCAGATTCTTCCTTGTGCACTCTCACAGCACTTACTAAGGTGTGATATTTTATTGGTGTGATTTTTGTCCATTTCATCACCTAGACCACAAGGTCCAGGGACAGACTGTGTCTTCCTTTGCCGATCCTATGGTGCCAGGCATGTAGCAGTCATTGAGTAAATATTTATGGAATGAATGAGTAAATACTGAGTAACAAATATCGCTTAGTTGTGAGGACTCATTTTAATAACCGATTACTTATAGCACTACTATTGCCATCTAGTGGTGGCTGATCGTTATTATAGTGCTGGGCCCATTCTCAGTGATGGTCCTTTAGTCAGCAAGATTTCTCTGCGTACTCCTGGCATAGAAAGGGATCTATACTTGAGTAAGGAAAACCTAAATTCAATTAAACTTGGTTGGTTAATTCTCTTGACTCTTAGTAAAGATTAACTGTGATTCTTCGATCGCCTCAGGAATTTTTTAATAACCAAATCTTATCAACAGAAAAGCGATCAGATCTATGCAGTACTCGGAGTGAACTGAAGAAGCCTACCCAAATAAATTCAAGAACAAAGCCTGGACTTTGTACACTGTTCCTCTCAGGCTGTTCAAGTGAAGGCTTCCTGACAGCATTCAATCCAGAGCAAAGCCTTGCCTCCTTGAATTCTCCCTAGAAGTACCTAACACAAGACCGAATCCTAACAAGTCCTTTCTAATGTCCTACCACTGAGATGCCTTATAGTTCCCCATGATAACTGTTCACCCTTGTTGCAGGGAACCAATAAGCTCAACTTTGTCTCTGGTCATCTGGCCCGAGGGCATTGACAAAGTTTTTCCTTTTTGAAGAAAAGCTTACTCACGTATTTTTTAAATGTTATGATGGGTATCAAGTCACTATATTGAGATTCTACTGGGTATGTTTAAAAGATTGGTGTAACAATTTTATTTAAAAGTGCCACATTTTAATATATTGGAAATGATATAATTTGCAACGATTTAATTAGAGAATGAAAATTTGCATGCTAACTTTAAAATTGCGAAGATATCCATAGATTTACAAAGCTTTTTTTTTTTTAGGGGGCACTCCCCCTTCAAAAGTGTTTGAAGGCCACTGCTCTGTATCACCCTTCCTGTATCCTGTTGCTGTCCATGATATCAGTTCTGAATCCTGGTGTCGAGGCCAAGGATCTGAGGGTTCCCACTGGTCAGTGTCCGGGAGCTAAGTCTTCAGAGAGCTGGCAGTCTAAAAACTCCCAGAAAGGCTGAGTCTGTGCCCAGTTCCTGCCAGCATGATGGAGAGCCAGTGCCCAAATGTGACACAAGCACACAGAACTCCAGCATCTCAAAGAAGCATGTGAGCTAGACCAAGAGGCATCTCAGCGATAAACTGTGGACTGATGACCTGGGGGACTTCCTGATGCTTGGATGCTGCACATGAGCCAAGACCATCACAAAGGGAGGAGGAGAATGGGAAAGTATGGTACGAGGCCCAGTAATGTCTTAATTTCTGGCCAACCAAAGCTGTAGCATTTAGAGACAGATTTATATTGATTGAACAAAAGAATTGCTAAATTTCTTACACACCTGAGTTCGTGATTGCAGATTCACACCTACCCATGGACCATTTTGCGTACACTTTCATCAGGTTCACTGATGATTGGAAGCCATCTCAAGAATTTATGGACCAATCCTAGACTAAGAACCTTTGTCCTAAGGATGAAGGCCGCTTGAGTGTAGCATCTTCATGCCCTTTACTTTTTTCTTTTTTTTACCTGCCTAGAAGGGTTGGTTGACTCAGAAGAAACTGCAAAAAGAGAACTATATGTAGGGCTTTTCTGTTGCTTTCAGACACCATCCTTCTTTCTGAAGCTGAAAAAGGTGATGGCTGAACTGACACATCAAGAACCAGTCAAACCTAACAGCGGCTGACGGCTAGCTACATCCCCCACCCCCTTGTCCTCACCCACCCCACCCTTTGCTATTAGAACTGCACAACATGCCTGAGGCTCAGAAGAAGCCATCGGTCACCTACGTGGGATAGGAGTGCGGACAGGTTGGCGAACAATCAATGCTTCCTCCAAACACTAGATAGTTCCTTCTCTCTGCTTCTTTCCTATGACTGTATTTCAATGACAGGCATCACTTCTAAGAGGGTACATGGCATACTAATAGAATAATAGAGCATAGGGAGAGAGAATAACATTTGAATGTGGGTGGGCATTATGTAACCTTGTATGAGGGGGTTATGGTTTGTATGAGTCACTGAGAGCTTGTCACCAACACGTTGGTTTTTTGGCTGCCAGAATCATCCTACTGACCTTTGATGGATACAGAAGCTAAGGCACACATGAACTTAATGAAACTCAGTGTCGCTTTCCAAACAAAGAGAATTTTCAACCTTGGACCTCGAGTGAGGTAGCAGGAGAAGCAGCTCTGGGATGTGATTATGAATCCTGGTGTCATCACTTTACTGTGGAGAAACTGGGCAGCTGAAACTTGAGGTTTCTCCAGTATAAAGTGGGGCTAATTATTTAGGATTATAGGTTTTATAAAGTTCTGATAAATCAAAACATTTTCTATATACAGCAAGTCCTCAGTTAACATCAGTAGGTTCTGCAAGTTTAAGTGAAATGACATACTATAATGAAACCAGTTTTATCATAGGCTAATTGATATAAATGAGAATTAAGTTCCTATGGCATCTCATCAACTATATAAGGAAATGATGTTGAATGAAATGACCTTGTTTGAAGACCCTGATAAATCAAAACATTTTCTATATACAGCAAGTCCTCAGTTAACATCAGTAGGTTCTGCAAGTTTAAGTGAAATGACATACTATAATGAAACCAGTTTTATCATAGGCTAATTGATATAAATGAGAGTTAAGTTCCTACGGCATCTCATCAACTATATAAGGAAATGAGGTTGAATGAAATGACCTTGTTTGAAGACCTGCTATACTAAGTTGAAACCAAGAGACTGGGGTCTGCTCCTACTACCTGTGATGGGAGAGGGAGGAAAGGGGGACAGAGAAGAGACTGCCCATCTTGGGTTAAAACTTGGCAGGTCTTTGGCCATCCAGTGGCTTTTGATGGCTGCAGTGCAAGTATCGCCCCATCCCTGAATTGCAGCAGGCGAACAATTCAAAAGGTTTACCAGTCTCGATGAAAGGATATGTAAATCTGACTCAGTTCACTGCCTCTCTTAACAGTTCAATTGAAATTGCATCTAATTTAGGCTCATTCATAATTGTCATTGAGGAAAATAACTGCAAAAGTGGAGGAGCCCACCACAAGGCCTGATAATTACTTCACAGTGAAAACCCAACTGTAGGAACATCATGGTTGCTATGACAACCATGAGAGAAGCCTGGTTGCCCATGGTTACCTATGTTACCAGATGTCACTGGCGCTTGAGTCTTAGCTTTGAATGAGTCTTAGGAGCATAATGGGGAAAGCCAATAGGAACTGTATGAGTGGGTCTGAATGAAAGAATCTCCAAGTGCCCATGGGGATCCCCGACATCCCTTTTGTTTTGTTTTGTTTTGTTTGGTCATGATGGGTTCATGAAGAGTCTATCTCATTACAGTTCTCATTTTGGAGCCAGAGTCCTAAAATGACCCCTCCTCCAAAAGGCCTTTCTTTTTACTTTTAAAAATTCTTTGTTAAACTTTAAAAATAAGTAACAGAAATATGTGGTTCAAGCTTCAAAAAATGGAAAAAGTCTACAGGAAGTTCTCCTTCCTGTCTCCACTGCCCTCACGTCTACTCACTTCCTATCTTGCCCCAAAGGTATTTTTTATGCCTATCCAAGTCAATATAAGATATACTCCTTTTTACACAAAAGAAAGAATAATATATCATACACACTGTTCTGGACCTTGCCCTTTTCCTTATTATATCTTGAAAGAAACTGTCTCATAGCCATCCATAAAGTACTTCTTCAGTCTTTCTACCATGCAAAGTATTTCATTATTTGGATGTGCCAAATGTGTTCTGAATCTCTGTTGATGGCCTTTAAGGTGGTTTCCAGGATTTTGTTGTCACGAGGTAGCAATAACTAGCCGTACACGAATGCCAGTTTGCACATGTGAGTTATCTGTTGAATAATTTCTAGATGTACAATTGCCGTGTATATGGATTTGTCATTTTTAATTGCCATCCATAGATCTTGTACTGATTTGCATTCCCCCCAGCAATGTTTCCCCACAGACTCATTAGGAGTGTTTTGTCAAACTTTTGGATTCTTGCCAGTCTGGTAGGTGAGAAATGGTATCTCAGTGGGGTTAGAACCTGCATTTTTCTTGTACGTATTTAATTTTAGTGAACTCTCTATTCATGTGCTTTGCCTATTTTTCTGTTGTGTTGTTGGCCTTTTTAGGGAAAGCTCTTAATATAGTAGAGAAATTAGCCCTCTGTGATATGAGTTTCAAATATTTTTTTTTCTTCCAATTTGTCATTTACCTTTGAATTTGACAATATAGCATAATGGATAATAGCACAAGCTCAAGAGTCAGGCTGTCTGCGTTCAGATTCCAGCTCCGCCAATAGGCTGTGCAACTTTGGAAATTTGCTTCTCTGTGCTTCATTTTCCTAATCTCTAAAATGGGGATAGTAACACTAACCTCATACAGCTTTTGTGTGGATTAAATGCCTAATGTATTTAAAGTGAACACCGCTTTGTATAGAATCTAGTAAATTCTATATTTCACACCTATTACAGTGGTCCCCCCTTTCTCCACATGGGACACATTCTGAGACCCCCAGTGGATGCCTGAAACCTTGGATAGTACCAAACCCTATACATACCATGTATTTTCCTATATATACACACCTATAACAAAGTTTAATTTATAAATTAGGCACAGTAAGAGATTAACAGTAACCTACTAAAATAGAACAACTGTAATAACGTCTAATAAAACTCACATGAATGTGCCGAGTATCTCACTGTACTGGATTCACCCTTCTTACGATGGTGTGAGGTGGTGCAGTGGCTAAAAAAACTCACATGAATGTGCTGAGTATCTCACTGTACTGGACTCACCCTTCTTGCGATGGTGTGAGGTGGTGCAGTGGCTCCGTGGCGAGACGAGGGGAGGAATGGTGCAGGCACGGTAACGTAGCGTAAGCGTGCCGTGGGCCTTCTGGCATACGTGACGAGCACTTGCTGGCTTCTCTTGGGCGTATCCAGTATCAGTAGTCTTATGCTTTGGGGCCATTATTAAGTAAAATAAGTGGTAACACAAGCCCTGTGATACCTCTGCAGTCAATCTGATGGAGGAGATGGCTACTGAGTGACTGGTGGGATGGCAGTGTCGAGGCGGGAAGCGTCTACAGCATGAAGATGCTGGACGAAGGAGCGAGCCATGTCGTGGGTGGGGCAGAATGGTGTACATGAGAGTTCATCACCTTACTTAGAATGGCGCTAAATTTAAAATTTATGAATTGCTTATTTCTGGAATTTTTTTATTTAATATTTTCAGACCATGGTTTACCAGTGTAACAAACTGTGGAGAGCGAAGCTGTAGATACGGTAGGACGACTGTGTTATTTAAATTATTTTTATAGCTCCTGTATTTTGTGTCAGAGTTAGGAGGGCCTCAGGAAACTTTCCCTGTGCTCTCCTCTGCACCACACGTGGTTCTTTTTACATACTTCGCAGAGTGTAGCTGAGTGTTTGAGTCAGACAGACTTGAATTTCAGTGGCAGCTCTAGGACTTACTAGCTAAGGTGACCAAGTCATTTCACCCCCATAAATGAAGATTAAAGTAATACCCATTCGTAAGGTGGCAGTGGGAACTGGGGTCGTAGTTGGCGCACTGAGCGTGGATGCAAAATAAATCGTGGCCATTGCTTTTATTATAATGGTACCAGCACATTTCGGTCCATTTAATTTTACTTCTTTGTCTTTCCAGTGGGCTGTGAGTTCCCTAAGGCAGGACCTATGTCTTGTTTTGTTTCCCCAGAGATCCACGCCGAAGGGCCTCAACAAACCCATTAAAAAAGGGTAAAAAAGTATGTGGAATTGAATCGAGTCATATTGGATTTCTTCGGGCTTTTGTTCCTCCATCTCTAAAAAGTGTGTAGAGAAGCCGAGTGGCCCCTGCCCTTGGTCTGGGGTTCTTTTGCAGGATCTGGTTCTCTGAGAGGGATGCTAACTTCAGATCTGGGCTGGCTCATTCTCAAACTCTGCAGTTTCACATCCTGACCCTCTTTCCTAATAAAGTTAATTTTCTCCCATTATAAATGTTATACATACCCACTGAATAATCACGTTGTCTGCCATATAGTCAACCAGAAATTTTTCTTCGCTTAATAAGAGCATAATTTATCAAGTTATTTTGCAATAAAATAGGCCATTGTGTGATTCTTCATCATAGTTTGGTTTTTGTGGAGATTATTCAGTGATTCTTTGTAAAAACTTTAGCCATTGTTAGAAAGTGCTGGGGCAGGACAACATGGCCATTGCTTTAAGTTAACCAAACATGAGAGATTCCGGAGGGATTGCGAGGGGAAGCATGTAACACTGGGGAAGGAGCAGCTACAGAATGGGAGTATAAAACGCAGGGCCAAGCCTTGCCCCATCCATCACATAGGACACAATGCAATGGGATCGATGATTTTGGTGCCTAACAAGAGGTAGGAAACATCCATTGGTCCAGTACCTAAGTAACAAGGGCAGTTTCTTCAAATTGTCTATCTCTGTAGAGATTCTAAGCCTCCTCCTCTTCTCCCCCACACTGGGAGTGGGCCGTGGGTGGGATGCATACCATAATCTCTCTTAGTTGGCTCAACTGTAAATTAAAAAGAATATATAATTCTAATGTACACATTTTCCCTCGCCCAAGTTGCAGCATTACACACATTCTGTTATGCTACAAATTCACTTTTTGAGTTCTTAATCTTGATTTTTCTTTCAGTTGGCCTTAGTATGTCCTCAAGGAATTTTTTTCTAAAAGCAACGTGCAGGACATGTTTTCTAATCCTTGTATATCTGAGAATGAAAAATCTTTCAACTAGATATTAAAATATTTGATTGCAGCATTTCTGCTCCATATTTAATAGATATTGCTTCATACCTCTTTCTGTCTTCAAACAGCTGTATTTTGTAAAAGTCCAGAGATTATAGCTATGATTGTCAGGAAGACTAGACTGATATAAATTACTCTGGTGTTACCAAGCCACTATTGTTTCTTTTCTCTTTTTTGCCACTATTATTTCTTACCTGTATTTTTGCAATATGCCATCTTACACCCTTGTCCCCTACAGCCTAGCCTCACCCTAATAGCCAGAGTAATCCCATTAGAGTATTAAGTCTGATGATGCTATTCCTTTCCTTAGAAGCCGCCACTGGCAGCCCATCTCCCTCAGAATGAAAGCCCAAGTCCTTGCAGTCAGCTACGTTGTCCTCCAGTGTACCCACCCCCACGCTATGTTTTCTGAGTTGGTGTCTGATTATTTTCCATTTTAATCACTTGCCAAACTGACGTTCTTCCTGTTCTTCGTACTTGCCTCAGGGCTTTTCTCCTGCTATTCGCTCTTCCTGGAATAGGCTTCTCTTTCCTGTTTAAAAATCACAGATCCATACACCCCTCCCTGCTCTTACCGGCTCTTCCCATCTCCCTGGATACACTTTATCTCCATACTGCTCACAACTTCCCTGTTAGTTTACTGTCTTCCTGCACAAGGTTGTAAGCTCCATGAAGGCAGACACTTTTGTATGCTTTGTTCACAGCTATATTCCCAGGGCTCAGAACAGATGATGTTGAATGAATCAGGATCTCTTTCTCCAGGAACTCATGGCTCACCTCCTTAGTACAGAAAATGTATGTCCAGGGCAATTCCCAGCCATATTAGGAAAGGAATATTTTATTTTGGGCTTTTTTTCTTCACTCTCTATAGAGTCTTTCCCATCGTTCCTTCCTTGCAGTGCTGATATCCTGGGACACAACACTGGAATTTGATAAAATGTTGGTGAATCAGGTGTCTGTGAGTTTGGGTTATTTTTATTAGAAATAACCATAGGAGATGATGGTATCTTTTAAATTTGTTACTATCGTATAAAACACACCAGTGTTCTAGTGTTTATAGACTTAATAGGTAGGTGTGTGTGTGTGTGTGTGTGTGTGTGTGTGTATACGTATGTATATATATACATATATATATATATAAAGGGGATATTGGTTTAATCACATTTACATAATTCAGTTTTATGAGCCTATATAAATTATGTGTTGTCGACCTTTAATTTGGGCTTAATGAGATGGTTTCATTATGTTTAGAGATGTAATTATTTTGTTATGTTGTCATTGTTTTCTAAGCTTATTCATGCTTTGTCCCCCATCAAGGCCCAAGTGTCTGGCCTTCTTATCCCATATTTTTTTTAGCTGTTTTCTGGTATGAGGTTTGCAGAAGCCTGATCTCACTGAATTATGGTGTTACTAAATTGTTTAGTTTGTCCAGGGCACACTACAACTTCCGCTTTAACTCCGACTTAGATTTCCAAAAGAGTTAAACGCTGTGATCTGAAAATTGCCTCTAAAAACGTAGTTTGTAACAGGGATCTTTTCATCGTGGCCACAAGTAGAAAAGTGAATCTAGAGCTTAGCTGAGGTTCAGCCTTGGGCCCTCTAGTGTTGGATCTTGAAAATGCAGATTAATTTCGAGCAAGACATTGTGTCCCATGGAGTCCCCTAGTGCCCAGAGTCCCCTGAGGGTCCCAGGAAATCTGAAGGGAATGAAGAGGATGCTGAACAGGCTGGACTCTGGCCTCATCACATTCAGCCGCAGAAGTTCCATTTTTATATATTTTCTTCAACTTTGCAGACTGCTGAGCTCTTACTTGATACTTATTTTGGTGCTTTAAAAATAAAAGTTTAAAAAATTTTAATACTCGAACGTAAGCATATGGAATCCAAGAAGTGACTGCTGTATACATGTTTCTTTACGTCATTGGATTTCAGGATTTAGGCAGTATTTCCTCATATAAAACATATAATTTCTTGGGCTAGCCCCAAATAATGTTAACTTGTGGTGGAATCGAACATCTATATACTTTCGTTAAAAGAACATGCAACAGAAAAACAGTGTTTCTATGCTTGGGTTTCATGCATTTGTAGTCAGATGGCTAGGCTTGGGAACTCATTTGCAGTACTGTAGTTATTCCTCATAATCAAGGTCGTTGATCCTACTGCAGGGAGGGCCCAGGGAGGCACCTTGAAAGCAATTCTGAGGTTTCTGTGCTGTGGCTAGCGTTGAACTGATCCCTTCAATCCTTCGTTGGCATGGGGAGAGACGTGCAGAGCATTCAGTGGTCTGTTGTGAGCTCCCTGATCACACTGCTTGATGCATGTTCACGCCCATCACCAGTGAGGCACACCTGTGCACGCCATGGCCACCTCGTCTGTAAGGGGAGGGGATGGTCTCCTTATCTCTTTGGTTATTTTCACATTTGTGAATTTATCACCAGATGACTGATCTTCAAGTTCTCATTCAGTGTACCCTAACATCTTCCAGTGTGCTTTCTCCTCTGTGTGATGGGCATGGAAATACCCTTCTTAGGAGGTCTGGCAGATTAAATGATAATGTATATCTAGCACAGTCCCCGACACTTAGTAAGGGCCCAACAACTCTCTGTCCTGCGATTAGCTAGAATCATATGAAGTTGCCATTTTCGTTGGTAGATGTGACTGACTGTTGGTAATTTCATGTGGTTCAAGCCAATAGTTTTTCTTTCATTGTAAACTTCGGTGCCTGTGAAGGGCGCCAAGTGTGGGAAACGGCATGAGCAAAGGTCCCAAGGCAAACAGCATCCCGTCCTCAGTGGCAGCATTTTCCTGTCTCCAGGGCCAGTTTCCCCCATAATCTCACCCTTTTTCTAGAGATAGATCCATGTGCATGTGGGGCTGTGACAACCCTGGAACCACATAAGAGGCCCAAGTCCCTGGTCATCCTCGCCCTCTAGCTCAGAAGCTGGCTGTGCTCCAGAAGGGATAGTTAGGAGTGGTGGCCAGTGTCGTAGGCTTGCTCCTTCCTGGAACAAGCCTCAAGAAACTCCGGGATGTACAGAGCCACCTGCTTCACCATATAGACTGAGGAGTCTCATTTTCCTGGCACTGTCAAGGGACAAAGTCACACAGAGATCGGTGGGGTTTAGTGACCAGCAGAGGGTGAATCATTTAAAAATTTATTTTTTCCCTAGTGGTAAAAGTTAATACATTTTTATTGTGGGAAATCTGGAAAATATCCAGTAGCACGAGAAAGAAAATAAAAAGAATGGGCTAATGAGACTTTGGAGAACTTTTTTCCAAAACTCCAGAAGTAATAGGATCTAAGTGACATGAAATTCTCTTATTTTTTTATTTTTTATTATTTTTAAAAAATTTATTTATTTTTATGGTGACATTAATTAACAGAATCCAATAAGTTTTAGCTGTACATTTTAACAGTAAGGCATATATATATTTACACTGACACGAAATTCTTAAATAAGTTCCTTTTCTAGTGGCTACTGCCGCATAACAAACTACCCTAAAACTTGTGGCATAAACTAACCATTCTCTTATGTTCACAGATTCTGTGGTTGAGAAATTCAGACAGGACACAGCTGTGACATTGTCTCTGCTCCATGATGTCTGGGCTTCAGCTGAGAAGACTAAAAGCTGGGCTGACCTGACTGCAGGGGCTGGAATCATCTGGAAGTATTTCACTCACATGTCTGGGGGGTGATTCTAGACGATGACCGGGAACTCTCCAGCAGTGGCTGCTCCATGTGGTCTCTCCGTAGAGACTAGCTGGGGATTCTCACAGCATGGCAACTGGATTCCAGAGTGAGTATCCCAGGAGATGGGAAGTGAAAGCTGTCAGTGTCCTAAGAGCCTGGCCATGGTCATAGTGTCATTTCTTCTGTCGTCTCTTGGTCAAGGACTAACAGAGCCCAGATTCAACCTTGACCCCACCTCTTGATTGGAGGAATGCTAAAAAAAATGTGTGCCTCTGTTTTAAAGCCTTCACAGTTCCCTAGATGACAGTGCAGCCCAGTGGGTAGGTCAGGGTCTGGACTCAGACTGCCTGGGTTCGGATCTCGCTTCCATTCTTACTGGCTCCATGACCTCAGGCAAGTTCATTGAGGTAGAAACTATTGCTGCCTCTGTTCTCTTCTTCCTGGGAACACCAATAAGCTGTTTCCCAGACCCTTACATCCAGAGCCAAGAGACTCGTTTTAGCTAGTGGGATGGAAGTCGACATGCCACATGTCATCTTGGGTTGAGGCAGTTAAGAGTCATGTGTATACTCATTCTTTCCTGCTGCAGAGGATTCAGTGGCTTCCAGCATGGGAGGTAGTAGAGTCACAATACGGAAGGAGCCTGGGTCCCTGAATGACTGCTGACGTGAGTCATTCCTCTTGTGCCCTCTGCACCAAGGACATCGAGGAGAGGTAGGCCTTCACTGTGTTGAGCCACTGGGGTTTTGGTGGTGTTTGTGATAGCAGTTAGTGCATTACCCAACCTCTCTGAACCTGTTTCTTTATCTGTAAGGGCGGGTATTAGCTGTAGCTTCTTTTGTGTGTCCTATGAATTAAGTAAAATTAATGTATAGTAGCTGGCACATAGTAAGTGCTCATTGGATGTTGGCTGTTGTTATTAATGAAAGTGACTGCCGGTTAGAAGGGGACAGGTTTATGTCTGGGAGGATGGTGTTTTAAGAGGAATATTACAGTTGGATCGTCAGTGTCATCACCGTCATCAAGATGGCACGTGCCATTTACTGAGCACCTTTTTGGGCCAGGCTCTGTCCAAGGATGCTTCGCTTGTACTCATTTCAGTCCCCTGAGGCAGGTATTGTTAACCTCGATGTCAGGATGAGGACCCTGGAGCCCAGAGCTGCTGCTGAATTGTGCAATCACACAGGCAGCAGCACAGGCATGCTTTAAATCAGGGCTCTCTGCCTCAAATCTTGACTCCTTTACTTCAGAAATGACATCTTTGGCATTTTGGGGAAATGTGATATGTAATTAAAGAAAAAAAAATTAAATTTAAACGAGGCCTCCACCTTCTTTGCTTCTCACTGGGGATGTGTTAATGTTTTCCCTGTGAGCCCTTCTCTACTTCAAGTTGTAAGGATTGCCTTTTATAAATTAATCTGGCATAGAGCTTGGCAGCAGATATGAAAGGCCCCAGCTTCCCTTACTTTCCCAGAGGTCTGTTGCTTCTGTTTTGTTTGAACTCCGCAGCCTCTATGTGGAGTTGGTCAGTGGAAAAAGGGACTGGATTTCCAGAACAAAGTCCTTGTCTGAGTCCTGTGAGTCCCCCTTCGGCTCAGGCCTCCTGTGAGCAGAGCTATTTTAAAGTCCACTCAATGGCACAGAACCTGAGGCGAGATTATCATGCCCAAGTGGCTTTCTTTTTTCACTTGTGCAACTTGCCAGAAGCAGCTTCTAGTTCTTTATTTCTGTGTGGAGTAAGGGAACATTCGTTTGCAATTCCACGAGAATAAGAAAGTCTCCATGAAACTTCCGTTCTGAGGTGCTGGTGCTTAAAATCCTGAAGCTAGATTTGCTAGATTAACCAATGATTGATTTCTCTTTACAATTACCTGCAATTTATTGCCTCTTCCTCTCCTTTGAGATATCAATTTCGTTTTAGTAACATAAGCCACTCTGCAGACCAGGAGGTCTGAAGGTGTAGATTCGGTCATTAGCAACGTGGGGTGTCCCTGCGCTGCGTTGCGTTTATATTATCAAGACAATTCTACTTACGTTGTGCCTACTTGCCACGTATTGAGTTGAGACAGCAGGTAAAGACCAAGGGTTTATAATATTGTATATATTACTTACCCTGCTCCTCTTCTAGCTCTGATAAAATTTTAAACACAAAAAGTCTCTTCCTTTTTATCTCAGATTATTTCTCTGTCAAGGGCAATGCTTAAGGCAAAATGAATAAAATCCACTTCAACATTTAAGGTTATCTTTGAAATATTTATGCATATGTTCAGGAAAAAAGCCTTGACTATGTGCTGCTAGGACAGTGGGCTAAGTTGCTTTTCTTCTAGAATATTATTGTTATTACTGTCATATTACTACATTAGAATGGAATTTTATAGAAATTTTTCTAAAAGAAAATTTCAAAAACTATTTTGTTCTTTAAAAATAATGCTATTAGAGATTTAAAAAAACACAACTTTTTGGCTGTTTCAAAAATAACAGTAGATGGCGCCAGAGAGCCGAAGTGGGGATGAATTTGCTTCCAGGCAGGAGAAAGGCCTGGGCGAAAGGGGCGGCTGGCACATTCATCCTCTGAAGCAGTGCAGGAGGATCCAGTTTCTCCACATCCTTTCAACACTCGTTGTTTTCTGTTATTTTCTTTTTGTAATAGCCATCCTAACGGGCGCGAAGTGGTCTCTCATTGTAGTTTTGATTGCATTTCCTTGAGAAATGGTTATGTATTGATTTATTTGTGGCCACGGAGTCTTTCCTCCGTTGAGAGTGAGTGCAGCATGGGCCTGGTGGTTAGGGGTGTGGGGTTTGGTGTGCACAGCCTGGGGAGGAGTCCCAGTGTCCTCGTGCCCTAGCCACGGTGTTAGGGAGTCACAGCTGCTCCGAGCCACATGGGGTCAGGTGGGTTCATCATAACTCCTTCACATAGGCTGGTTGGACGAATCCACGAAGGGCACATATGAAGCTCTCAGCACAGTTGTTGGCATGCAGCAAGTGCTCAAAAACAGAAGCCCAGTGCCTAAGGGAGGTACTTAGGTTGATGTGGCCACGAGGGCCTTCCAGTCCCCTTCTTCAACACCCGCTTTTGCCCGGATTGCTGGCATCCTGTCGTCTTTAGTGAAGAGGAGCCCACTTTGAGCCTTTCACTAAGTGGTTTCTAGGGTTCCTCTCAGTGCCGGAGTCTAGGACTGTCACAGGGGGTCACTAAGCCAATCCCCAACTCTCAGTTGGAACAGACCAGTGTCACTGACATCCCCCTAGGCCACTGGGAGCCATTCAGGGCTCTTGGCCCACACCCATTCTTCCAGAGGATGCCACACACACCAGGGCTCCTAGGAACAGACTGGTTAGGACATCTGGATGACTCCTGCAGCTTCCATCGGCCCAAGTCAGCTTCCTCTGCGAAAGACTCCTCCCTGGGACAGTAGGGTCGGCTGATTCGGGGTGTAGGAGCCGGTGGGCTTCAAGACGAGTCGAGGCGTCATCATTACTGGAAGAAATGGGTCATCTGGAACTTTATCAAATGTGTTCACCCTTTGAAATTTGAACAGATCAAGAACTATTTTGAAATAGTACATGGAGTTCATCGAGAAGTCAGGAAGCTTGGGAGGAGAAAGAGTCTGGGCAGGACACAGATCCCTTTTCCTTCCAAAGAACCAGTGATAACTTGGCAGGGCAATTGGTTCTGGGATCTTCGTCACAAGATTTCTGTTTACTGTGTAGGAGCAGTAAATAGGAGGAGATGGTATTTTTCTGCACAGGGCAATCAGATTGCTGCAGAAACAGGCCAGCTTGCCAAGGAGGCTCGAGCTGGGGAGGGCCGGGCTGATGGGGCAGGAGCACAGAGGGGAAGGGACGGGCTGGACTGGAAGGAAGAGCAGAGACCAGGGCTGACAGTGAGATTTCAGATGGTGCCAGGAACTGCCTGAAACGGTGATGCTGTAAAGAAATTCTTCCTGGGGGATGAGAGTTGCAATAGAAGGTTCCTAGCCATGCAGAGGAGCTGAGGAGTGGGGCCTGGGAGACCCCTTCTGAGATGACACCATTACCACCTCCTTTCCATGCAGGAAGATGCTCAACCCCACACTTCCCCTAGGATCGACCGCTCGCTGCTTGGCAGAGAACATTAAAAGCATCCATAAACAAGACATCGCAGATTTTGTTGGCTTGTAAACCTTAAAGATGAATTTCCCTCACATTTTATGAGTATGGGTTTTAAGCCTTCATAATGCCTGGCCGCCCCTCTCCCAAGGTGATGGTTTGTGTTAATTCAGCCAGGAGAAGACCTCTGATGATGCATGATGACTTACGTATGGAACTGATGGAGATGATTATCTTTCTTTCGTGGATGGCAGAGGAAAGATTTTACTTTTTTTTTTTTTTTTTTGAGCTTTTTAGCTCATATGGGGTCCTCCCTTGCTCAGTGTCTGCACATTGTAAGCATTCAGTAGAGAAAAAATAGCTTTTATTGATAAATTAACAAAAGCTTTTTTTTTTTTTTTTTTGAGCTTTTTAGCTCATAGATGGGATCCTCTGTGAGACACTTGGGTGGGGATCCTGAGCTGGCAGGAAATGTGTGGTCCCCAACAGTGTGCAAAGATCCTGAGGGTTAGAAAGGATAGCTAAAATAAAGAGGTGGATTTTGAAGGAACCTCTATGGAGGGAAGGGATTGAGATGAACAAAACTGTAGGTTGTTAGAGCTGGACAAAGCATTTGGGAATGTGTGCCCCAGTCTCTTGCATTTATAAATTTGGCACCAAAACCTGATCACATTTGAGGCTTTATTCAATGTTATCCAGCAGCCTCTAACACTTAAAAATAATTCTTTAATTTACAAGAGTAAAGTTTCTTTTGTTAAGTGGGGCAGTTAAATGAAACAAGCATTCATTTGTGGCCTAATAATAACCCAAAAATTTTCTAATGCCCTAAATTAAGAAACCTCATTAAGGAATGGGGCTTTTGTTCGCAAGAAGCCACAAAGCATGGCCTGTTTTCCTCTTGCTTAGAAGGACAGCAGCAATTACAGCTGGTAGCTTAGGCAGTGATTTTCTGTGCCTTCTCTGTGCTTACAAGAGATTGGAGTCATTAATGAGACGCTAATGATCCAAACTTAACTAGAGTTCACTTCTGCCTTTCCTGGAGGAGGTGAAGAGGCCCCTTATTTATTCTGACCATACCCTGTGGAGCAAGGGGCAAATTTGCAAAAGTTGGGCAGACTAAACTCCAGCCACTTTGGCACAATGATGTCCCCGACAGGTGTGTCCTCTACAAGGTTCCCACAGCCCCAGACAATGGGCCTACATTCAATATGCTGTGGAAACCTAGTTCTCCCTTCACTGGCCTTATTTTTCTTTTGTCAGGGAATACATGACCTGAAAAAGATCTGCTCAGTCACATTCTGGTCACCTGGCTTGGCCTCAGAGTCGGATCACTCTTCCCTTTGTCATCATGGACCTTTGTTTTGAAGCAAAGGCCTGGCCTTTCTCTTTGTGCATGGGCAGTGACAATTTTTTTTCTTTCTCGGTAGATGCTGTGCCAGATCTGCACAATGTATATAAAGCCTGTAGCTAGGTGCTGGCACACAGTGGTGCCAATTGCTTTAGTTTGCGTTCCCCTAGAAGTAAATCTTGAGACAGACTGTAAGGAACTGGGAAACGAGGCATGGTGGGCAGGCAGCCATTAAAGTGGTGTCATGAAGCCAGCTCCCACCCCAGGCAACTTG